AGTTCAGCACTCTAATTACTACATTTTAGCGCACATGGTTTAACACCTAAGTATACAATGAATTGTAACTGTTAACAGCAATGAAACTTCCAACTCCCACGCTGCTGCGGTGGAGAACCGCTAAACCTAAAATACATTGTGTATAACATGCACAAATTAAATCATTCTGCGATCAGGTAGTACTGTACTTGATGCTTGAGTATTATCCATTGTAACGGACTGTTATTCGATTTCTCCTTCTTTATCTTTTCTAAAGTAAAGTACTTCCGTAAAGTAATAGAAAAATCAAGTTGTTGCGATTCTTTCATCATCGTTATCTTAAGCTAACATAATTTACAGCTGTGACAAAGATCATAAACCTCATCGCAAGCAGGACTGCATCAAGGAGCTTTTTTCAGCATTTATATTTTCCTCCAATGCTCCTGCGGCTAGTGAGCGGTTCCCAAGTTTGATAAGTTTTGTAAACGTTTCCCTACTCTTTCTCAATTTTTTTTATCAATCCACGCAAGGTGGCAAACTCTAAATTCTTCAGAGAGTTCTTTGACCGTTGGTTTGCAGTACCTGCTCGTTCGTAGCCACATCCAATCATAGCAAAGCTGTCCAGAGGAGTGTCGTGACGCCTAAGAACAGCTAATTTTTTCATGCAACCTCGAACACGGCTGCCTTCGGAATGGTCATCTTCATGACAGTTTCTCCACAGTCTCAGCTTCGCCAGAAGACAACTGGAGTATTGGAACAGACTCCTTAAACATATTCGATCCAGATTGATCTCGGCCGTCGCCTGGACCCTCTGCCCGCCTGTGCAGAAAGAAACAACTGCTTAGCGTTACCTTCTGCAAGCATTCGCAACACATACCCAAACTTTCACAGCTGTGACTTCTCAATATGGAAAAGCTGAAGCTGTACAACAAGGTTCTCCCGGATGTCCGTATTCCAGACCATATAGAGACGTGTAAGACCAGAAATTCATCTAAGACGGCCGATTTCAGCAAAATGTATCCTGGTTCGACGCTTATCAGTCACGGTCCACGACTCATGACCGCAAGTAAGCATGGGGATATAGATCGATTTGAACGCCGAGTGCTTAGTTTTCAGGCTGAGCTCAGCTTTAGTCACAATGGATCAGGCTAGCTCACGCAGAACGCCGCTGGCTACACCAATTCGCCGGTCGATCTCTTCGTCCAACTTTCCATTATTAGTAAATATAGGTCCGAGGTACTTGAACTTATCCACCTGCTCCACTGCCTCTCCGTTAATCTGAAGACAGCAACGGGCAGCAGAAGGAGAAAGCACTAGGCTTTTCGTTTTAGATGCGTTCACGCGCATGCCGGTCACGTTGCACTTGGCTGCGAACCTTTCTATTGAGCACTGAAGTTCAATTTCCGAAGACGTTGATAAAACAAGGTGGTCTGCAAGCCTTCTCGACTTCACCGATACTTTCATCGCCTTGGCAGCTCCTGACTATTTTATCCATGTACAACATAAACAAGAAAGGAGACAGTACGTAGCCCAGGCGGAGACCAGTGCCAGCATTCAAAGGTTTCCACCTAACGCCATTTACTCTGACGCAGCACGTACTATCAGAAAACAGTAATTGGATGGCTCTTAGCAGCTGGCCATCAATCCCGTACGCTTGCAGGCATAACCACAGACTGTTGCCTGGAATCCAATAATAGGATTTTCCTAGATCAAGGAAACACATGTACACCGGACGGACGTACTCCACGATTTCTTAACAATCTGTAGCAGGACAAATATATGGTCAGAAGTGTTTCGACCGGGCAGGAACCCATACAGCTTCTCTGGTAGTTTGGAGTTAGTTTCTCCGCGGCACTTCTATTGTGGCACTTTTGCGTAGAGTTTACCTGGGAGGTTCAATAGCGTAATGCACCTATAATTGGAGCACTCCTTGTGGTCCACCTTCTTAAATTAGGGTACAAAAGCTACCGTTCTCCAGTCCGCTGGTGTCTTCCCCGTAGTTATCGCAATTGACAAGCACGTGTATGCCAGCGCATGTCTTGCTGGCTTAATGACTTGAGCATTTCAGAGCGATTTCATCAAGTTTTGAAGCCTTTCTATATTTTAAACTTTTCACAACTTGAGCAGTTTCATCTACAGCGATAGTAATATCCGTTTTCTGCTGCTCTACAGGCGAGTCTCCCTGCAGTTGTGCGGGGTTAAGGATTTCCTCTAAGTTCTCTTTCCATCACCGAAGAATGTCATCAGAGCCTGTCCAAACCTGTCTTTCTAGACTCTGAGATTGCCCTTCTGTTCATTTCGGAGCCGGCGGATGGTG